ATGGCTCTAATTTCGGCGAATAAGTTTATGACAAAATTTGTGGAAAGCCCAAGGGAAATTGTGTTGTTGTCCCTGAAATTGTTAGTTTCATATACTCATATCTATGCATACATATGTATTAGTATTGGTATATAGATTTCGGCTAGTTGTGATAGTTACTTTGCATAACATTCTAAGTGGATGTGTGGATGTGGCTGATCACACGGCGGAAACCGGACTTCAGTTAAGAGGGCCTCTAATTCATCGGTCTGTTGATTATGTTATGTCTGCTTTAAAATACAGGATGAAAAAGTCTTTTTAAATTAGCCGGTCAGGCAATAGGGTGTATGTCAGGAAAGGAGGTAGGAAGCTGGCTAATAACTACTTATAAGTAGTGGATATGTTCGTTCTTCACTTCTATTGAGCTCTGCAATCGCTCTCATGCTTATTATTTATTCTCTAAATAGTAGCACAAAGGAATTTGATTTATAAGGATGTATATTATAAATAGGTAGATGGATTTAGCTCCATTTGTTTAAATTCTCACTTACATGTATCACTATTACATTCACTTTTGCGATAAATTAGGGAGAGGTTCTATACTTTGACTAATTAAGCAATCCCTTGAATGTTAGGAATAGAGACAGGAAGTTTGTTGTTGTTGTTTGTGTTGCTTGTTTGCTGGAACTGCGGGGGGGGGGATAGTGTTGAGCTATTCAGTGTTGCTTATTCACATTCATTCTTCACACCTCCCTTAGGCTCAGCAGCTCAACCAAATATACGTTTGAGACTTCGCAAACACAGTCATGATTTTCATTGGTTCATCAAACCTTGATGCTCAGGACTCACGCTAGACTCTCTCGTAAACATCCAGAGTTGTATCTGCTTGTTGCTCACCCTGACTAACGTCACATACCCACTTCTACGGGTACCATTACGCTCAAATTCAACGAAAACTAATCAAATTATTATATATCTATCTGTATATATTCTGTACATATATAATCGTTTTTTATACTTTAGCCAGTTGGCTAAGCGATAACTTAGTCAGCGTAGGTCGTCTAATGAGATTTAAGGACTTGAGGTTTCCCACTTTTATATAAATAGGTCTGATAAAACCACACTCACATGAGCATGAACACATGTACAGACAAGCGTATTGACAATAAGACATACTTATCAAAGTCAAAATACTTTATCGTGCCATTCTACTCCCTTCCACACACACATCGTAATAAGTCACATACTCTCACGAAATGAATCATTTTAATGCTCATTGGGTTATGCAACGAGAGACACATTCGTTATAATTTAATCAGAATTGTACATTTGTTATCCATTCACAAACAGAGAGGTACAGGCAATAAAGCGTTTTTTTCGTTTATTAGTAGGCTTTCAAGACTACCAGTTGATCATATACATGAGTGGTATTTATCCTATTTTGTTTAGGGTGATAATGGGATTAGTTGTTGAATCTTCCCACATTGATATAAGCGTTTCCATAGAATCCCGCCTGGGTGTTGTTAAGGCCTTGGCGAGGTCGAAGCTGC